CTATGCTTAAAAATAAATGAGTTCAGCAAAATTCATCTTTCCTAAAAGCCAAGTCTAATTTTGGCCGGATATTGTGTACTAGCTCGATCGACTGGTGTTCAGAGTGCACTGTCAAAAATTGCTATTTATTGTATGCTTAAAGACGAAGGACCGTTCGTGGTAGTGGCGGTTTAACCCGGTTCAAGAACAATTTGTTTATCAAGTATAAGCCTTCACATTACACGAAGCTTAATGTGGATAGTATTTGGCCCAAAGTTAAGATAAATAAAATATTGAGGTGAAATTGCATATTAAGATTTTTTATCTTTTGAATAACTATTTTTCTTAAAACATATACTATTTATCTCTTGGACAGAATGAAATATTGAGTTGAAATTGCATATTAACTTTTTTTTTTTTGTTAAAACATATAATATTAATTATCTCACTTTTTCTCATCTAAATTTCATATATTTTTTTACATAAAATGTAATCAATATTATTTGTATTTTATGTTGTATAAATTACTTAATTCATTTGCATACTTCTAACTACTACTTTTTATTCTTTTCTAATCCTACTCATTATTTTCTAACTTAAATCAATTTACACGTTTCAAGATACTTTATCGTAATAAAATTTGTTTAAAAAACATTTCCCTAATGAAAAAAATTTTCATCTTAATCTAATCACAAATTTCAATTATTATTTATCTCCCTAAAATTTACTTGAAATATTTTATCTTGAATTTATTTCTAAAAAGTATATAAAAATACCCTCCTAAGGTTCAATTCTCCTGGTGAAAAAGTGAAAAAAGAAAAAAGGTATGTCACATTGAATTGAAAAATAATATAAATTGTATAGAAAAAAATTAACTAAATGAGTATAATAAAAAGAGGATTAGATGGATATATTTTGATAAATAGAAAAACAATATTAAAGTTTTAAGGAAGTAATTGTAACATGTTCCATATAGTATGTATTATGTAGGATGGCAAAAGAGATTAGTGGTAAATATTTAGAGTATTCTATTCAATACTTACATATACGTATTAATAGATAAATCCGTTAAACATTTTAGGATCATTTTAGAAGCAATATAATTTGATTGAAATTTTATATTTTACTCTTACATGTTTTTGTATATATATATATGTTTGCACTGTATATATCTGTTGCACTCATTTTATTATTTAGAGTAGATGAGAAAGTTTTAGATGATTTATTATTGGTAAATATTTATTATAATAAAAAAGTATCTCATACTATTTTTTTTTTTGGTTTTTTAACAATGAAGTAAGAAGTCTTTTTTCTTTTTCACATTAATTTTTTTTTAACAATTAAGAAATCTTTTTTCTTTTTCACATAAATTCTCTTTTATTTTCTAACAATTAAGAATTTTTTTTTTTTTTCACATAAATTCTCTTTTAGTTATGACGGTAGGCACTCTCACTTTAGTGTCGGATATTCTGTTATGACGGTAGACACTCTCCGGATCTCAACCGCCCGATGGCAACCAGAGAGCTGGCATGCAGAGAGCTGGCGTGGCGGACTAACATAGAAAGCGGCGTGGAGTTAACATAGCTGAAGGATAATCAACAATCCATTATTAGAAAATAATATAAAATTCAAATTTTTTTAAATAAACTAAAATAATACCTGTATTTATTTATTAAATTATTTTTGTAATTATTTTATAGAATATTAATTGAGTTAACTTTCAGTTTGTAATTTAAGAGGGAGTATGAATATCTTATTTGGAACAAATACTAGCAACAAGGTTGTGCATATACCGAATTATTGAATAAAACTTGTATATATTTAAAAATATTAAATTTATATCGGAAACTATATACGACTCAAATTATATTTATATAATAAATTAAATTATTGTAAGAAG